GTTGGTGCTCCTGTATTGGGTTCATATATATTTATAATAGTTATATCCTCTTGTTGGATTGACCCCTTTATCATTATATAATGTCTTTTTTTATCTCTTGTGACTTTCTTTGTTTTAAAGTCTATTTTGTCTGATACTAGTACTGCAATACCTGCTTTTTTTCTCCTTGTTTGCATGAAATATCTTTTTTCATCCCTTGACTTTTAGACTGTGCATGTCTTTGAGTTTGAGGTGAGTCTCTTGTAAGCCACATGTAGATGGGTCTTGCTTTTTTATCCATTCTATTACTCTGTGTCTTTTGATTGGTGCATTCAGTCCATTTACATTTAGTGATTATTGAAAGATATGTACTTACTGCCATCGCAGGCGTTAGGTTCATGGTTACCAAAGGTTCAAGGTTAGCTTCTTTACTGTCTTACTAACTTCACTCACTTATTGAGCTATTATAAACCAGTCTGATATCCTTTATTTCTCTCCTTATTCCTCCTCCTCCATTCTTCATATGTTGGGTGTTTTGTTCTGTGCTCTTTTTAGGAGTGTTCCCATCTAGAGCAGTCCCTCTAAGATACCCTATAGAGGTGGTTTGTGAGAGGCAAATTCCCTCAACTTTCGCTTGTCTGGGAATTGTTTAATCCCTCCTTCATATTTAAATGGTAATTGTGCTGGATACGGTATTCTTGGTTCAAGGCCCTTCCGTTTCATTGCATTAAATATATCATGCCATTCTCTTCTGGCTTGAAAGGTTTCTGTTGAGAAGTCTGATGATAACCTTATCGGGTTTTCCTTTGTTGGTTACCTTTTTTCTCTCTTTGGCTGCCTTTAATACTCTGTCCTTCTCTTTGATCTTTGCGATTTTAATTATTATGTGTCTTGTTGTCCTCCTTGGGTCCCTTGTGTTGGGAGTTCTGTGTGCTTCCATGATCTGAGAGGCTATTTCCCCAGTTTGGGGAAGTTTTCAGCAATTATTGCTTTAAAGACACTTTCTATCCCTTTTCTCTCCTTCTTCTGGTACCCCCTAATGCAAATATTGTTCCTTTTGGATTGGTCACAGTTCTCTTAATACTGTTTCATTCCTGGAGATCCTTTTATCTCTCTGCATCAGCTTCTCTGTGTTCCTGTTCTCTGATTTCTATTCCATTAATGGCCTCTTGCATCTCATCCATTCTGCTTTTATTTCCTTCCATAGATTGTTTTATTTCTGTATTCTCCCTCCTTAGCTCTTGCATATTTCTCTGCAAGTCCATCAGCATGGTTATGGTTATGACCTTTATTTTGAATTCTTTTTCAGTAAGATTGGCTAAATCTGTCTCCTCAGATTCTTCCCTCTCAGGGCAGGATGTCTGGGTTAGTCTGGTCTGTATCAAATTTTTCTGCCTTTTCATGGTGATAGAGGTAGTCGTAGGCAGTTGGCGCATGTGTCAGCTTGGAGAACCAAGTTCCTTTCCACTTGCTCCTGGCCTTCCTTTCCTGGGAGAACGGCGCCCCCTAGGGGCTTGTGCTGGGCAGCTGCGCACAGATGGGGTCTCTGATTCTTCCCTGCACTGCTTTGGAGTAAGCTCCGTGGTTGCTCTTGGCGTGGCTGGCCTCAGGCTGCTTTTCCGCTATGGCAGAGCCATGCTGGAGGGGGAATGGGTGGGGTGCTGTTTATTGCTGTGAGGGGCTTCCAAGCTGTGCTGCCGCCCAAGGGGTTAGGGTGGGGTTAGGGTGCCCGGAGTTCCCCGGGATTCCCAGCTGCTAGGGTGAGTGTGCCAGGGCGATTCCGTCCAGCTGTGGGGTCCTGTCCCTTTAAGACTTTCAAAGGGCACTCTCTTTTCTTTTGTCCCAGGGGTGCCAGCTGCTGGGACCCACTCGCAGGTCTTACTGTCCAGTTTCCCTAGTATCCAGCACCCCACGCACTGTGTCTCTGCTCCGGTGTGGATGGCTAGGGCTGGGTGTTTAGCAGTCCTGGGTTCCCTCTCCCTCCCTGCTCCGACTCCTCTCCTCCAGCCGGGAGCTGGGGTGAGGGGTGCTCAGGTCCCACCAGGCCGTGGCTTGTATCTTACCCCCTTTGCGAGGCGCTGGGTTCTCGCAGGTGTGGATGTAGCCTGGCTGTTGTCCTGTATCTTCTGGTCTCTCTTGTAGGAATAGTTGCATTTGTTGTATTTTCAAAAATATATATGGTTTGGGGAGATTTCTGCTGTCCTACTCATGCCACCATCTTGGCTCCTCCTGTTGTTAATTGAAATTTTTTTTAACATGAAAAATAGGATATACAGAGGATTAACATGGAGTAGTGGACCAAATTTTGGCTTACTAGAACCAAGAAATACATGTTAAACATGAAAAAATTTTGTTTTTAAACTTAGGGCCAGTCTAAGAGAAGAATACTTTATATATAAGGAGACTTCTCAGTTCCCTAAGAGATCATACTGGCTAAAAATATGTATCTAAGGTAAAATAATTGAAATAAAATAATACATGAATAATGTATATTATAGAATGTCTAAGGAATATGGTCACATAAGCATATTTTTTAAAAAGAGTTAAGCTGCTTTCCTCTCCAGTGAACAAAAAGAACCAAGAATAAGAGAAAATTGTATTTCTCCTGAAACTGAAAAAGGTCCCCAACCTCATACTCCTAGTTCTAGTTCCACTTTCTGAATTGCCTGGTTTAAATTTTAATATTATTTTTAAACAGTGTTATCGTTAAGAACCTACTGATGCTTTATTTCTACAGATAGTTTCTCAGAGCTAGATCCACGTATATGTATGTTTTTAACTTCAGTAAGTATTTCCAGGAGAGGTAATCTCCAATAAGCAGTATAGTATGTAGAATCTATGCATGCTACCTCTGGTTTTCCTTACTTTAATCCTGATTTAAGTTATATCCACAGAAAGAACTATACCTAGAGTTCATAATTTATTATCCTAATGACTTATATTTTGATTTCTTATATACCAACTACTTGGCTAAAGTGCTTATCTATATTATATCACCAATATTATTTTTGCTGTGGAGAACAAAGACAAATAAGGTGAAAAACCGACCATTAGGGAGTGAGGATTCAATAAGATGGTTAACTGGTGAAGCACTGTGCTGTTTATGTTGTGTCTGTTGTATTTGTGATATACATGAGATAGTATATCAGTGATAACTTTAATTTAGAAAAATACCAGTATTTTAAAAATAATGCATTTTAATAGTACATTTAAGAAATCTTTGAAATAATTGTTACTAGCTATAATTTTATTTTAAATAGTTTTTTTCCTGTAAGCTCTAGGTAAATAATCCACATTTTTCATAGTTAGTGATAGGAGACTTTTGGTGACAATAGGTTGTAGAAAAAGATGTTAGCAATTGATTGGCCTTGCCATCAGACAGCCATATGTCCCAGAGCTCTTTAGTGACTGTTTGGTGACCCATAAACCTGCTCTTTAAGCATTAGTTCCATGTAGCCATCAGTACTGACTCATGAATGCTGATAAAGAAAACAACAAGCTCAGTAAGAATATGGATGAACTCGTCATGGCATTACTGTCGTCTGGGGAGGTGATTGGCAACAACGCCAGAATATGAAGAGAAGATTTGAACTGATTGGAAAACTCATTGAAATGGTTTATTGATGATGTGGTTTGTCAACCTGAGATTACCTTCACTACATGTATCTAGTTTATGAGAAAAATCATCTCTATGCCATATGATTGAATCAACATTGAAATGTTAATCCTCCATTATTTTAATTGGTCAATATTTTTGTATGAAAAGCAAACTATTTTTCTTAGGAAATCATAGTAATCATGCAAGTTGGTTGTAGAGTCCATACAGAAATATTTTTTATGGTTATACTCTTTAAGTGGTGGAAGTTTGCTTGTGGATGATTAGAAGTTCATATATAGGTGAGCAGTGTCTCTCTTTGTTTCTTCCTGTGAATTGTATACTCATTAAGGTGACTGAACTTCATGATTTTCCTATTTAATTGTGGGATCAGTGTATGTAGAGAGCGTTTAAATGGCTAAAACCAATTCTAGATTTAAAAATTTTTTATTGAGATGTAATTGATATATAACATTACTAGTTTCAGGTATATAACATAATGATTCAATATTTGTATGCATTGTGAAATGATCACCACAATAAGTCTAGTTAATATCCCTCACCACACATAGATACAATTTTTTTTCTTTGTGCTGAGAACTTTTAAATCTACTCTTAGCAACTTTCAAATATACAAAACAGTATTTGTAATAATAGTCATCATGCTGTACATTACATCCCATGATTTATTTATTTTGTTACTGCAAGTTTGTACCTTTTGACCCTCTTCATTTCTATTCTACATTTTTAATATCAATATAAGGCTCATTGTACCCAAAACAGCTGAGCAAATCAATAAAGATGCTTAGAAGTGGCTGAGTCATTATAAGTAGGTCATACTAAAACCATTTTGAGACCATAGTACAAATTTGACTCTGGTAAAAACTCTAAAATGTATTTGTCTTTTTTAGGGGGTGGGGCTCACTGTATGGGGAATTACCAGGTCAGATTCAATGCTTAAGACTTAAAAGCATATTGCTATCTAAATTTAGAAGGATTACAATCCATTCAAAGTGGTAAGATTGATTCATTAAGATAGTATGGCTATTTTGTTGTAAGTTATGAAGTGATTAAGGAAGAATAAGTAATTATGTTAATCTTCCTAAGGTTCTATCAACACACATTTGTGTGAAGCTATATTCATACTGCTATTAACTGGGGTTTTCTTTTTGATACAAGGAAACCCAAAGTCTATTAGAAGAGGATTTGGTGTACTTAACCATTAAACTTATTCAATAAGTTTCTATTTTATAATTACTTTTTCATTTCATATTTTATATTTGTGAAGAATGTATATTTCTATGTTTATTTCATATTTTAAAAGCTTGCTTAAATGTTTGACTTATTTTAAATATTTTTAATTCTTTTGAATAATTCCACTATTTAATACTGAGTGAAATTTAATATTTTTTTTGCCCTCTGGTAGATATGGAGTCTGGAGAATGGTTACCATCCTCAACAGCATCTTCCATCACACCCACTTCATCTACCATACCTTCTGTGGCCTCATCAGTTTCAACAGGGCGCCTTTTCCATGGGAGCTGCTTCACTGAGCTCTACAATCAACCCATGTGGTAAATGTTCTTTATTTATTAACTCAGTTTTAGAACACCACCCTTTTACTAATTTGCATTTATACTGATTTACTGAACTCTGAATCAAATGTGCTCATTATTACTTCTGTTGACCTGTTGAACAAGGGCTGGGTTAAACATCTAGTCTCTGCTGCTTCTGGATTTTATCAGACGCTAGGATAGCATTAGTTATGCCATGCTTTTCAAGCTTATTAGAAGCTCTCTTTGAGTTTCATCTTAATGTATTAATTGGACCATTTAAATTAACAATGCATGCAAAATCTTTTAAAACAGTAGGCTTTGAGGGAGTGAAGACATCCAAAGGAGTCCTTGGTGTGAAGTGCCAGTGCTATGGACCCTTTGCCCTAAATTTGCTCCCGGTATTTGAAATGACCTTCACCAAACCCCAACTACCCAGTTCACGGATGTATAACAAAGCAAATCATTTACTTGAAAGAAAATATTTTAAGTTTAGAGAATGGCAAGTTTCTCTTAAACATGAACAAATTTTATGTTGTGAAAAAAGAGCTTTATTTCAGAAGAGAAAATACCCTCACTTTTGATTAATTATATAGAAGGTATTTTTAATTACCCCCCAAAATCACTGTGTCCAAACACAGGTTTGGTGAATACATACTTTTTTTTTATAAACACCTAAACTCGATTAATTCATTCCTTTATCAACAGGAAGATTTTTAACCCTAAATTTTTTTCTTTCAGAATATCTAATATGTTTATAAGCACTGGAGCTAAATGATATTTCAATTTTTTCAAAATTAAATTTGTAATTTTTTGGGTAGATGGAATTCATAAATATGGAAATGTTTGCTAACAAAATATCCACAAATAGTCAAATACGTATTTTTCATTTGTTCTGATTTTTTTCTAATCAATGACAAGGATGCCATTTTGTCATTGTTTCATCAGAACAATTTTCTAAAATTTTCTTAGTGAATAAAATAAAATAGGGATACATAAATAAAAGAAAATCCTTGTTCTCCTGCATCCTGTACAGCTTTGGTTAAGTTATGTTTAACAACCGGATACACACTTCCTTTTATATAAAATGATGGCTATATATAAAATAATAAATGCCTTTGATGATTTCTGTGTTCAGAAATAGTGATTCCATGATTGACATTTCATCTTAAGTTACTTTAAATGATTGCACACAACTTAATTTTGTCTGAGTGATTGCATACAGTTGAAACAATTATTCTTCCCTGCTTTTTATAACTTTTCGTCTTTCCTTTGTTGTCATCTTCTTTTAGGTATATTCTTCCAGTCTGCTGTCTTACTTTGTATTTACTTCTCAATGAGAGTTTAAAATATGTAGTATTTTAGAGAAATGTCCTTTTATTATGTTGACAGTTTCAGCAGCATGCTTGAATACAGAGCCTTGAATTTTCTGGACACTTTGCTGTCATCTTTTTATCACTTAGTTTTCTGAATTAGTGACACTTGAATCGTGAACGATTCTGATCAGTCACATGTTGGGTGCTATATTTTGTTAGGAGTAGTTGGGAGGTGCAGAAAGGGTGGGATATGGTGATTTGCTGAACAACATGAAAAATTTCCTTGTCTAGAAAGGAATTATTTTTTATCATTTATTTGCCAACTTAAAATGTCATAGAGTTGCTATGTTGAAACGCTCACACTGAATGAAAATCCAGTTAGTTTCTGTGTTTATTCAGAAATATATCACTTGCTAACACATTATACTTTTAGTACCTGTAGCACAAGTTTTTTCACTTTGTAGGAAAATGATTTTTTTGTTTTTTAACCTTCACAATGTTATGGTTTATGTTTAAAGTAAACCCTTGTATTAACTTCCAATGTACACGTTACTTAAGAGAATGCTCAGTTGTCCTGCATAACTTTTACTATCGTGTTTTCCTGTGTTCTATCCTTTGATTGAATACTTTTGGCCTATTCATTTTCTGATACTTCTTCCCTTTTAAAATAAAATCGCAGAGTCGTAATGGGTTTGGCCTCTTTATCTTAACCAGTTGGAATCTCCTCAGTCTTTTTGATGTATAGAGACAACAAAACAGAATTTTCATCTTTAAAATGTCAAAACCTCAAAAAGTCCTTTAATGGCCCTTTAAGGTCATTCTGTTGTCTTAAACAGTTATTTTAATTGGCTTTTTTCTGCCATCTTCATTCATTAAGGTATGTCTATAGGAATTTCTCTGAGTTACAAAGGATATAATTGTGAATGGAACTGTTTTCCTGATTTCTCTTTGTACTTGTTCATTGTTAGTATATAGGGATGCAACATATTTCTGTATATTGATTTTGTATGCTGTAACTTAGCTGAATTCAGTTATTAGTTCTAGTAGTTCTGCCGTAGATTCTTTACGGTTTTTTATATACAATATTGTGTCATCTGCAAACAGTGACAATTTAACTTCTTCCTTACCAATCTGGATGCCTTTTATATCTTTGTGTTGTCTAATTGCTGTGGCTATGACCTCCAGATCTGTGTTGAATAAAATTGGGGAGAGTGGGCATCCTTGTCTTGTTTCCAGTCTTAAAGGATAAGCTTT